TGGATTTTGATGGTTCAAGATGTCGCTTTTATGCAGGATTTTCAATTGAGATCATGTATTTCTTAGTTGAAATTTGGAAAATCAGTCAGACGTAACGTTATAACGACCGCGGTCAGTGGAGCTCAGCGGTGATCGACCACCACCTTTTGTTCCAGCGGTAAATTTCTCATTCAGTTTTACCGTAGACTTTCCAAAAAACAAAACAAAAAAATAAATAAATGTATTAAAAGTTTGAACACTTGCTTAAGGCTAATCAGCGAGGTGGTAACTAAAGTTTATTATTAGTAAATTTTATGTCAAGTCTGTTTCTGAAGCTTTGTAAACCGCTAAGTTTTTAAAGGTGCATTGTGTAAGTTTTCTGGTGTAGGGCAAAGTCCTGCATCAAGTCGGGTAAATATTTGCTGAAACGGGCGGGTTTTAAGGTTCTGGAATTTTACAGGCGGGTAGTGATTTCACATGGGCGGGTCAGGACTAAATCAGGACTAAACCAGGACTAAACTAGGTCTAAACTAGGTCTAAACCAGGACTAAACTAGAACTAAACCAGGACTAAACTAGGACTAAACCAGGACTAAACTAGGACTAAACTAGGACTACTAAACCAGGACTAAACTAGGACTAAACCAGAGCTGAACCAGGACTAAACTAGGTCTAAACCAGGACTAAACTAGGACTAAAACCAGGACTAAACCAGGACTAGGACTAAACCAGAGGACTAAACTAGGACTAAACCAGAGCTGAATCAGGACTAAACCAGGACTAAACTAGGTCTAAACGAGGACTACACCAGCACTAAACTAGGTCTAAACCAGGACTAAACTAGGACTAAACTAGAACTAAACCAGGACTAAACTAGGACTAAACCAGAGCTGAACCAGGACTAAACCAGGTCTAAACCAGGACTAAACTATGACTAAACCAGGACTAAACTAGGTCTAAACCAGGACTACACCAGCACTAAACTAAACCAGGACTAAACTAGGTCTAAACCAGGACTACACCAGCACTAAACCAGGACTAAACTAGGACTAAACCAGAGCTGAACCAGGACTAAACTAGGTCTAAACCAGGACTAAACTAGGACTAAACCAGGACTAAACTAGGTCTAAACCAGGACTAAACTAGGACTAAACCAGAGCTGAATCAGGACTAAACCAGGACTAAACTAGGACTAAACTAGGTCTAAACGAGGACTACACCAGCACTAAACTAGGTCTAAACCAGGACTAAAACCAGGACTAAACCACTAAACCAGGTCTAAAACCAGGACTAAACCAGGACTAAACCAGGATAAAAACCAGGACTAAACTAGGAAACTAAACCAGGACTAAACTAGGCCTAAACCAGGACTAAACTAGGACTAAACCAGGACTAAACCAGATCTAAACCAGGTCTAACCTTGGACTTGAGGGAGAGAGAACCCTGAGCCCAAGGAGCAGGGTGCCTGCAAAGCACTCTACGGTCTACGGTCTACGGTCTACGGTCTACGGTCTACGGTCTACGGTCTACGGTCTACGTGGGTGCACCTCCGAGCCCGTCCCGACAGCCAGTCCTGGTTCAGTTCTGGTTTAGTCCTCCTGGTTCAGTCCTTGAATCAGTCCTAAATTAGTCATGAGTTACTCCTGGGTTAGTCCTGGTTTAGTCCAGGTTCAGTCCGTGGTGTGTGCGGGGCAAAAGTCCGGCATTTCGATCAGACTTTCTTCTGCCTGTGAAGTGATGACAGATTTTTGACAGTAAAATTACGTCTGTGACTTCGTATTCGTTTTGCTTTGTCTGGAATGTTTCACAGTTTGGTATTAAACCTTTCCATCTTCATTCTTCTTCTTCAGAATACCTGTTTTTTTTGAGCATTTAGTTACATAATGCACCTTTAAAACATTTAGCAGAACCTCGCATTTTAAACATGTTTTTGCACAATCGTGTTATGGATATTAGTTCACACGTCGCTGACTAGCCTTTAAACTCTTAATATTATTATTTTTTGAAACGTCTGTGAGCAAAATTAGCGGAAAATTTACTTCCAGAACCAGAGCAGGTGGTTACTGTTGAGCTCAATATAAAAACACAATACAGCGACTGTGCTTTTTTCAGTATTGTGTTAATTCATTGTTGCATTAATTCATTTAGAAATTTGAGCTACAGTGTTTGTTTTCTAACCAGCTCATACTAAAATAATTGCACAATAGTTGAGAGCCGATTTGAGAAGTAATTACCCAGCCTTATAGCTGTTATAATTTATTTTATTTTTTTTTACAATTGCTATAACTTTGACATAAGATAAAATAAAATAATAATAATAATAATAATAATAATAATAATAATAATAATAATAATAATAATAATAATAATAATAAATAAATAAATAAATAAATAAAATAATACTAATACTACTACTACTTATAATAATAAAAAATAATAATAATAATAATAATAATAATAATAATAATAATAACTACATCAAGTCCACCTGTAATAATGTTATGTCTAATGTTTGCATATTAAAGGTGCACTGTGTAACTTTTTGGTTGCGGGTCCATCACCTGCTTGTTTCCATGGATAGGCCATTGCTCTGCCTGGAATGTTCCACAGTGTGACTTTAAACAGCTCCACCTTGCATTACTATTCAATTACAGTTGGTTTTACAGCTCAAAAACACCTAGAAAAGCAGGTGTTTTGACTGTGAGCGGGGTCGCCTCTCCACCGATCTGACCTGGAACTCGATTAGGTTTGGTCTCCGTGAAGATAGAAAGGTTTAAAGCCATACTGCGGAACATTCCAGGCAATGCAAGAACACCTCCGTGAAGAAAAAGCATTTGACGGAACTTCCACCAGAAAAGAACGAAAACAATGCACCTTTAAAGCTTTTATTTCACATTTTGTTGACATTTATAATCACGCCGGTTATTCAGAAAGCCTTCGTCACTATGGGATGATTCGTATTGACTTTAGGTTAAATGAAAAGTCCCATCGGCCCCTCTTAAAGACTCCACCAGCGTTAGATAATAGCCACACTTACATGCTTCAAATCAATGTCCTCTTTCACGCTCCAGGTGCACAGCTAACAGCTATTTGATTTCTAATAATTAACCTCGATAACCAATCCTACGCAGAGACAACTCCAATACGCCAACAGGACCGAAGCCAAGACTTAGCTCTTCATTCAAACGCCGTTGTATTAAAGAGGGGGTATTTCAACTTTTATGAGGTTTTAATTGCACATGAAACATAACATATTTAGATCACCATGTTATAAGGATGTAACAATAACCAAAATATCGTGATATCGTATCGTCAAAAGTCTCACAGTAATATCGTGGGCTGTCACCACTGTTGGGCAAGTTACTTTAAAACTGTAATGCGTTATTTATGACTTGTTAGTGTCATTTTAAAGTAATTTGTTACATTACAATATTACCGTATCTAAAATGTAACGCATTACTTTTAAGTTACTCTCCCCAAAATAACTGTCGCTGATCAAAACTCAAATATCAATCAGAGAACGAAGACGCCGAAATTTTGCGTCGTATATGGACTGAACTAGGACTAAACCAGGTCTAAACCAGGTCTAAACCAGGTCTAAACTAGGACTAATCTTGGACTAGGACTTGAAATTTAGGACCGCCCCTGAGAGAACCCCAAGCCCATGAAGCAGGGTGTCCGTAAAGAGCGATCGGGCGTCGGCTGCGATTAACCCCGTGGAGCGTAGAGTTCTGCGCTGGTCGTTTTGCCCACAGTCCCCCAACGATCTACATGGACTCACTTCTGGGCCTGTCCCGACATTCGGAACCGTAACGATGGCGTTTCACCGCTGCTGATATCGCGGTGATTTTAGCAAATTTGTATGAAGAAAAATGAAAACCCCACCACTTCAATCCAGATTAAAAATGCATTGTAACACGCGATACTGACATTTGTACCAAGTAAAATATTACAATTTTCCCCCCGTAATGCCTTACATTACTGCGTTACAGCAAAAAGCAATGCATTACTGTAATTCATTACTTAGTTTCTCTGCTTAAATGCTGGTTTTATAGTATAAATAGCTAATAAACATTGAGAACTACATATCCCATGAATCATTTCAACCCAGACAACATGAAGTTATGTTTTTTACTTGAATTCTTGGGATTATGACAGTAACAATTCAAGCCAAAATCTTGTCAAGGTATTTTAAAAGCAAAAAAAGTGTCCTATCTACAATTATGTCAGCCTCTCCAAAATATCGCAATAAATATTTTACCGTGAGATTTGGATATCGTTACATCCCTACCATGTTAGCGTCGACTGTTTTAAAAATGCTATATTTGCCCAAAACGTTTTAACATGTTTTATAAGTCCCCACTCCCTTCATTCTCTGTGTTAAGTCACTCCATCGTCAGTGCATTATCACAAAAAAATCAAACCACTGCACATCGCATCAGGTTTGACAAGTTTTTAATCATGTTTTTGTATATTTCTGGAGAAGGAAGGAGAGATTGATTTGTATAATACCCCCTCTTTAACCAAAAAAATAACTTATTAACTAACAAAGTCTGCACATACCGTTCAAATGCGATAAAAATAAACAAAACAAACATCCAAAAGATCGCTACTTTTGAATATGTGCTATGCAACTTTCTTCTGGTTTGCCTGAAATGTTCCGCAATATGGCATTAAAGCCGTCTAAGTCCATGAAGGCAAGAAAGCCAAGCTACATATCAGATCTGTGGTGAGGCAGTAATGCATGTTTTTTGGAGAAGTTTTTGATCAATAAAAACACACAAACAGATCACAAATTTGCTTAATATGGGCCCTTTAATGCCACGCTGCGGAACATTCCAGACAAAGTAGTAAAGGATCTGGCAAAGCTTCCAACAGAAACGTTACATAATCGTCTGTCAATCACTCAGCTCTGACCACATTGTCTTAAGAGGGGCCTCGGTCTCTTTTCGTCGGTCCCGGTCTGAACACAGCCCAGTGCAGCGATACAAGAAACAGTACTGGAGTATTTCCTGTACTCACCGATGACGATGGTGGTGATCTGGTTCTTGGTCGCCCCGAGTTTGTTCTTGACTTCGCACACAAAGGTGGTGTTGACGGCGTCGTCCACTTTACGCACGGTCAGTTTGTTCCCGTCCACGACCACAGAGTCTGGTAACGGTCCGGAGACGCTACAAAAGGACAAAGGGGGTTTAAACTACATTGTAAAAAAATTCTGAATAAAATGGTTGGAAACTTGATATATTAATAATTGTATACACTTTTAGGGATGTAACAATAACCGAAATATTGTGATATTGTATCATCAAAAGTCTCACAGTGGTATCATGGGGTGTCACAATATGTTGAATCACAAGTTCCTTTGCTTAAATTCATAGTTTTATAGCTGCAATAGTTACTAAACATTGGCAACTACATATCCCATGATTCATTTCAGTGCAGACAACATGAAGAAAGGTGTTTTTTACTTGAATTCTTGGGATTATGACAGTAATAATTCACAACAAAATCTTGTCAAGGTGTTTTAAAAGCAAAAAAGTCTCCAAAATATTGCAATAAATATCATACAGTGAGATGCATATCGTGATCATATTTTTTTTTCCTTTAACCCTTGTATTGTGTTAGAAAGTTACACGCGTCTTTAGTGTTAGCGGGTCAAATTTGACCCGTGATTTAACTCAGCCTGAAAATACTTAAAAACACTAGATATCATCCAATATTGTTTTTCCCCTCATAACTAACTTAGTATGTGTTCATGTCCATGGAAACATTTTTATTTATTTATTTATTTTTGGCAGCACAGACCTTTTATCTTAAAATATACCACTCGTTTTTGATTACAAAAACTGCTTAAATTCACTAATTATATTTCCTATAGTGATATAATTTGTATTTATATGATATAATTATACTATAATCATAATAATTTTATATATAATACATATAATATAAATCTAATTTATATAAGTATAATTATATTGGGTGTCAAGAGGCTTGGTGACCATGAACTGTCACTTTTTCTTGACTTGAAGACGTCTCTTTCAGTCTTTGTGACATCTGGGTTCTCCTCACCACATGTGTGCTCTTGTTCAGGGTCATACTGAACCTCATCCACAGACGTATATATGAATGGACATAACTAACGCTGTAGCCACCGCGTTCCAAATAGAAAGTTCTCCAGGAGGCTCTTCCGGCTCCTTCTGACTCTGGCTCCAATTGACTTATGTTAGGATCTTGTCGTCCTTCTCTCTGTACCTGCTGCTGTGAACCTCGTCATTTTGGTCTTAAAATATACGTATTAACCTTTGTGTGTGTGTGTATATGTGTGCGTGTGTGTGTGTGTGTGCGCGCGCGTGTGTGTGTGCGCGTGTGTGTGTGTGCATGTGTGTGTGTGTGTTGTGGGACACACTGAGCCATATTTGATCCACAGAGCAGCCTACAGCTTGTAAGTGATGCATAAAAACAGCCACTATTCTCTGCCGGGTCATTTTTGCCCGTAACACCACAGATGTCACTTTTTTTTTTTCAGACCTTTACAATTTACTAAAATGGTGAAAATTGATTTTGTTGCGTTAAAATAGTTGTGTCTGAGGATTAGATGAAGCCTCATTCCGGTACAAAAAAGCAAATGGCAGTTTTTACATACCTAAGCTTGAAAACTGGTCAATTTTGACCCTAACACAATATAAGGGTTAAAGGTGCATTGTGTCACTTTTTGGTTTTGGGTCCGTCACCTGCTTGTTTCTTTGGATATGGCATTGCTCTGCCTGGAATGTTCCACAGTATGACATTAAACAGTTCTACTTTACATTTATTCAATTACAGGTGGATTTATAGCTCAAAAATAAGTAGAAAAACAGGGATTCTGACTGTGAGTGGGGTCGCTTCTCCACAGATCTGACCTGTAATTTGGTCAGATCCTGGTCTCCATGATGATAAAAATGTCTAAATGTTTTAAATGATATCATACTGTGAAATATTCCAGACAAAGCAATAACATCTAAATGGAGAAAAGCATTTGACGGTCCCTCCACCAGAAAAGTTACACAATGCATCATTAACTTTTATACTTTCGACATTTTATATACATAGAGAAGACACCAGATATATAATGCAAGATATATGGAACCATGTATCAAAGAAAATAACTCAACTAAACATTTTATTTTTGTGGAGTAGGAAAAAGGATGGCAGAAGCACTCTGATCTGCAGTGTATTTATTGTCACACCAACGCATTGCAACTACATAGGCTACGTTCAGACTACAGGGCTTAACGCTCAATTCAGGTTTTTTTTGTGAAATCCGATGTTTTTGCGAGGTCATTCACATTTCCAACTTATCCAAAAGTGTCCCGCATGCGCACTGGAGACACGATGACGTCCACCGCAGCGAGCGTCTCTGTGTTTACGGAAGTTGTCCAAACACAGACACGAGAATTTAGCGCCTGGCGATTTTAAAGTTTCTCTCGTACCAGAGCCAGAACATGAACAACTTACTTGTTTTAAGGAGGAGATTGAGAAGGACGAGGTTTTTGGCCGTGGTGTTTTGTGGCAGCGGCAGCGACGTCCGTTGAAAGGAACATGTGGATGTGGAGACGGAGCCAAGAGTGGTGAGTGGTGATGTGCTTTGCTTCAGTGACACATAATTCATTAACAATTTTCACCTACTTCAGCGCAGAATAGTGACATTTGTGGCTTGTTGATAACGTGTAGGTCGGATGAATGCACCGTTCAGATTGAAGTCGCATGTCAAAAAATCAGATATGTATCGGTTTTAGGACGACATATCCAAGGCTGCGTTCAGACTGCAGCCTGAAGTGACCCAAAAGTGACCTGTATCTGATCTTTTAATGACAGTCTGAACGGCACAGATCCGAATTTTTCAAATGCGACCCAGTCCACTTGGATATGTGGTCCTGAATCCGATACATATCCGATCTTTTGACATGCGACTTCAGTCTGAACGGCCAAAGCGCATCCATCCGACCTACACGTCATTAACAAGCGACAAACGTCACTATTCTGCACTGAAGCAGGCGGAAACCGGAACTGTAAAATCGCCAGGTGCTCAATGCTCGCGACCATATTTGGACAACTTCCGTAAACACAGAGCACGCTCGCTGCGGTTGACGCATGGGGTTGACGTCGTCGTGTCTCCATTGCGCATGTGGGACACTTTCGGGCCGTTTACCGTTCACACTGAAGTCACAGGCAAGTCGTATTTAATTGGAAATGTGAACGACCTCGCAAAAACATCGGATTTCACAAAAAAATCGGAATTGAGCGTTAAGCGCTGCAGTCTGAATGTAGCCCAAGTGTCCAGGGTCACATTGGAAAAAAACAGATCTGTGTCGTTCAGACTGTCATTAAAAGATCAGACACAGGTCACACAGGGGCCAAAAATCGGATTTGGGTCACTTCAGGCTGCAGTCTGAACGCAGCCTTAGTTTTCAGTAGGGCTGATGGAGTGAGCAACAGGTGTGACCATTTCAAGGGATGACGACTCCGGACACGTGATAATTAAAAACAAACTATCCAAAAACACGAGACATGTTAAATCCAAGTACAATGACAACATACCAATCTCAACACAACAGATAAAAAACACTGTTCTGTATAAGTTGGAGTATAGTCAACAATACATATGTCCCTTCAAAAATTGTTTTAACATTATCACAAGTAGAAAGCATTAGAAAATGTGTAAGAAATGTTATTAAAGATACCTGGGTCCATTAACATTTTATTTTATGTTCATATCCTCAGAGTATCCATCCTTTGCTTTGTGGACGTCACTGCAAACCCTTCTCTAAATGATGAGTCTAAAAGTCTTTTCAAACTTTTGACTGGTAGTGTAGTTAGTCTAGGGCGAGTAGATGTCCCTATTTACCCGGGACGGTCTTAGTTTTGAGCCTGCGTCCCCCGTCCCAATAGATGTATCCAAAACCAGTGATTTGTCCCAGTTTTATACAAGACATGTCCCAAGAAATCCAATTTTGACCAATTTGTTACCCACCAACAGTAAACAAGGGAATATATTGTTGAGTGTTTTTGTCTAAATGCAGAAAACTTTGCTGGGAAATTGCCAGAAGGCCAAAAAGTGCTCTCAGTTATAATGACAGAAGTGAGTGGAGAATGAACCAAGTGCCTAAAAATGTTCTTAATCACTCGCTCTTTTCACAATTTTATTATTACGAACGATCCCGACCCGGGTGTGTCCCAGTACTGTTGAAGTCAAGACCGCAAGAAACAAGACCAAGATCTGTCCGAGACCACCAAGACCTCTGAGCGTCGAGACCGAGACAAGACCGAGACTTTTAAAGGCCGAGAACGAGACAAGACCAAGTCCAAGCGCTTTCAAGACTGAGACAAGACCGAGTCCAAGTGCCTTCAAGACTGAGACAAGACCGTGTCCAAGCATCTTCAAGATCGAGACAAGACCGAGTCCAAGCACCTTCAAGACTGAGACAAGACCGAGACTTTTAAAGGCCGAGCACGAGACAAGACCAAGTCCAAGTGCTTTCAAGACTGAGACAAGACCGAGTCCAAGCAACTTCAAGATCGAGACAAGACCGTGTCCAAGCACCTTCAAGATCGAGACAAGACCGAGTCCAAGCACCTTCAAGACCGAGATAAGTCCGAGTCCAAGTGCCTTCAAGACCGAGACAAGACTGAGTCCAAGTGCCTTCAAGATCGAGACAAGACCGAGTCCAAGCGCTTTCAAGACCAAGACAAGACCGAGTCCAAGCGCCTTCAAGACCGAGACAAGACCGAGTCCAAGCGCCTTCAAGACTGAGACAAGACCGAGTCCAAGCGCCTTCATGACCGACACGAGACCAAGTCCAAGCACCTTTAAAATTGAGACAAGACCGACTCCAAGCACCTTCAAGACCAAGACAAGACCGAGTCCAAACGCCTTCAAGACCGAGTCCAAGCGCCTTCAAAACAGAGACAAGACCGAGTCCAAGCACCTTTAAAACTGAGACAAGACCGAGTCCAAGTGCCTTCAAGACCGAGACAAGAGCGAGTCCAAGTGCCCTCAAGACCGAGACAAGACTGAGGCAAGACCAAGACAAGACCGAGTCCAAGTTCCTTCAAGACCGAGTCCAAGCGCCTAAAAGAGCAAGACAATATCAAGTCCAAGCGCAGACAAGACCCAGACAAGACCGAGTCC